ACCTGACCGCTGACTGAGGGAGGGCGGGCGATGACGAAACTCATACTGGATTAATCGGTTTCTTGTATAGAATAGAATATATATATATATTATTTTGTTATTAGAAATCTTTTGAAGCCTCCAATTGATCGAAAAACCATTTGGAAGTGTGCCGCCTGGATGTGTAAATCCACGGTAAATCCGCCGTAAATCCACCCGTAAATCTCGCTAAGCGCTCACTTACCTCCTCTCTTACCTGCTCTTACCACCGTAAATCTAGCCAAAATGAAAACATATAGCTATATAAAAAATTGAGGAACATGCCATGGTCTCCCAGAAGTGACTCGTGTGATTTATACTGGTAATTTTGAGTGTGGGCGGTCTATACGTCTCATAAATGCTATAACAAACAAAACTCATTTGCCCCCCTGGTTTATAAGGCTAAAAAAAATGCGGCAGATATCCCCTCGTAAATGGTCTGCAGTAAAATAATAGAATTCATAAATTTATGGAAGAGAGGCAAATAATCGCATAATCGCGAGTGTCTTCCTACAACAAAGTTTTACATTGAAAAGGAAAAAAAAAAAAAATTTTTTTCTTGGTGGTGTGAATCGAATAATAATATATATATATTATATGCATAGATATATAAATATATATCGCGCTGCGACTTTCTTTGTTGCTGGTGCTATCTACTACGACAAACCCAAAAAAGTGTGTGTGTGTGTGCGTGCGAGCGCGGAACCCGCGTGAGCGGCGGGGTGTAGAAGTGGTGCGTGTGAGCCGGGTTCCCGGACGTCGCTGCCGTGCGGCGGGGCGCGGCCGTCGTGCCGGCGCGATGCCGCGATTTACGGGGGTCGGTGGGATTTACGCCGCTTGGGGCGTAAATCGTACAGTGACTTACTACCTTTGTCATGTCATAGTTCAATCCCTGGTAAATACAACCCGGAAGCTCCAGTCGCCCAGATACACATTTCTCTCTTGGTCACTTTTGCCCATATGTAGACAGTATGCCATAGTTACGGTGCACCATAAGCATGAATACGCATGTAAACAGGTGTCCAAGTGAAATATTAGCGAGGATACTTCGGTTTCAAAGTCCCTAACTAGACACGTCGAATGCCTGGCCGGCGCAGGTTTATTTTCTAATCTCTTTTGCCGATATCCAATCATTTTCAGCACCGGTCTCTAGCTGTTTTGGGATGATTGCATGAGACTACACTCATCCTTGAAAAGTGTCTGCCAAGTTGCCAACCTCTTACATGAATACTTCATGATAGACCTTCTTGAACACACAGTTTAAATCCCATTGTAATTTTGTGCCCGCAATATTCAATATATGGTTGGGGAATTACCTAATCATTATCTGATGTCAACTCCGCATCGAAATTGCGCAAGGGCGAAATAAATAAATAACAATAAGGATGCTACGCGAGGCTTCAAGATGGTAATGATATGGGATTGATCCGTGCACACTGGACTGGGAATCAATACGTAGGCCTTAGCTGTTAGGATACGGTGCTTCTGTCCGCATCCCTTTTCGTCGATTTCACTTTAACCGGATATCCTTCTTCATTTACTTTTTGCCGCTTCCTGCCCTGTCAGATTCCTTCAGATCGTGCTTCCATCCCGGCCATCCGCCAAGCCCCGGGACATCGATGAGGGCGAGTGTCGTGTTGTCGATCCTGTGCAGTGCTAGAGCTCCACCCCCCCATCAATCCCCCAACAGGAATATCCTGCTTCCAAATATCCTGTATTTCCTAATTGTCGTAATTCTGTTTTCTCCCTTTATTTATGTCTGCCCCCAGTGGCGCGCACAAGTCAATGTGACCCTGGAGACTCCCTTAGGTGTTGGTCCTATTCCCCTTGTCCCACGATTACAAAATGATCAAAATGTCATTCTACTTTGGTATCAATAACAAGCATATGGTATGCGAGCAGTCCGTAACGTCATACGCAACAGTATTTAAACAAATCAAACAGCAGGATCAACGCACTACAAGATGGGGGAATAAAGTGAGGGGGCCCAAACAATACAAATTTCAAATTCACAAACGAATAACACCCTGCCGCCGTCGTCGCCGCCGCCGCCATCCAAGGGCAGCTCGCAGCCGCTACCTACTCCACAACCTGAAATCTTCCCCGTTTCTCCTCCCTTCCCCCCTCCTCCATGTCAACCAACTCCAAGGGCCGCTTGCCCAACACCGTGCCCTCGTCTCCACCTCCAACGACCAACTCTCCGTTCAGGATTGATTGCAATACCTGTGCATATTGCTCGTCTGATAGTCCCAGCCCCGCAAGGGGGTTGATGCGTGCATCAGACTCGGACATAGGAGAGAGGGTAATTGATGGAGGGGTGATAAGCGTGGATGAGGAGGAGGGGTTGTTAGAGGAGGGCACAACTTCGTCGGCATCGTCGGCGTCTCCTACCGGGGGCAGGGCGCGCGGCATCCGCGCCATTTCTTGAATGGACTTGAGATGCATGAGGTGTTTCTGGGGAAGGAAAAAAAAAAAAAACGACAAGGAAGAAACAAAAAGAGGTTTCGTTCGTTAGTCGTCGTTTTGATAAGAATGCATAAGAGTGAGTCAGTACGCACCTCCAGCATATCGAGAAGGCCTTCCTTGGTAAATGGCTTGGGGAGGATATCGTTCATCCCGTGCGAGTAATACGTGAGGATCTCATTGGGCTTCGAATTACTCGTCATGGAAATGATGGGTGTCATAGGGTCGAACTGGCGGATAAGCGACGTCGCAGATACACCATCCAATTTAGGCATCACGATATCCTATCCATTGGCTCAGCACACGACGCTACCCTGAGCAATGAACATGAAAAAGCCCACCATCAACACTAAATCATACTTTTCCAGATTCATCTTATTCACCGCGCCTACACCATCGACAGCAACATCGATTGTACACCCAAACACCTGCAGAAACTTGCTCGACAGCTTCCTGCTCACCGCGTCGTCGTCCACAAGTAGCACTCTCGGCGGGACAGCCCAGCCAGGGACAAACGTCGAGCGACGGACCCGCAGGCGCTGTGGTGTCGGCGCACGGCGTTTCGGCGGTGCAGAGGAGTACGAAGAGGACGGCTGGACAAGCTGCAACGACGAGGGATCAAACGACCACGTACCATCCGCATCAGCCGTGCTCGAACGCGGCAGCAAATGCCCCACAGTGAACACCTGCAGACCAGGGGGCACCTCACCGGCCCCGTTCATTCCCACGACCAGGCCACCCGGAAAGCCGCTCCCGCTTTCCGAAGCAACGTGCTCGTCGGACGGGTTCGCACTCATCGGCCGCTGCCTCTGCAGCTCTTCAATGCGCTGCAGTGCGTCCTGTCGCGATTGGGCCTGCGCCTGTGTTGGCATAGGGCTCACGGACGCTGGAGGTGTTCCTGGTCCGGCGAACTGCATCCCTGCGGTGTTGGCGATGCGGGACATCTCGTTCATTTGCTCGAAAGAAGCGCGAGCGACGATAGACTCGGGGTATGAGCCGCGCATGATACGCTGTGCCTCGGAAACGGGGACGAATTGATTCTCGGTGAGTGGGAGAGGGTGCAGGTTGTCGGACGAGGAAGAGGAAGAGGACGTAGCGGCGGTAGACGCATCAGCATCTTTCTGCGCTTGCGATTGTGGTTGGGTCTTCCCATTCTCGATTTGCAAAAAGTACTGTATGAGGTTCTGCATGAGCCCGTCCTGCTGAGCCATGTTGCGCTGAAAGTTGACCATTTCGCCGAGTACGGTTTGGTAGTTGCGTTCTATGTTGCGTATGTGGCTAGACATATCGTCGACAGTGCGATTTAGCCTGTCAACTTGGGACTGGAGGGACTGGATCGCACTCGAGTCCGGGGGAGAGGGCGGGGACGCTGGGGACGGAGCACTACCAGAACCAGTAGGGACAGGACCCGACTTTAACGCAGGCTGGATGGGTTTCCGCTGTGATGGGACTTTACGCTTGATGTTCTCAAGCATATCACGACGATCTGCACGGAAGTCGGGATGGCGAAAGGTCCAGCTGTGATCGCCGAAGGTATTTTCCTCGTTATTTTTCATCTTGTGAAAGTCGTACTTGTTTAGCTGTCGGACGAAGCTGGCGAAATTGGAGTGCTTGAACATGCGGGGTAGGATTGACTTTGTGAATTCGGTCATGTCCTGTTGGTGATGATGATAAAAAGATTTGGGCGGGATACAAAAGAATGGTAGGAAGAGAAAGTACCTTGATAATGAAGCAATCGCCCCCGGGACCCCAGCATACGACATCAGAAAACGAGTTGTCCTGAAGCATTCTGTTTCTTCGGGTCAGTGTGTTTGCAGAAGGATGTATGCAACGTACTTGAAAAGCTTCTTGACGAAGTCACTGGTGGGTGGCATGCCATCATCGCTGTCTTTGTGTTGGGGGTGGGTGTCTGGATGGTGTTTTGCGGAGGATTTTTGGGGATGATGATGATGGTCATTTGGAGCAGGATTGAGGATCTGAGGCTTTACGTCGGATCTACGGAGAGGGGGCCATGGTAGTTGAGTTGAAGATGGGGGTGAGAGGGAAGGGTGGTAGTTTGCTGGGGGAAACCTGCCTGGAGATAAGGGGGGCAGAGTGGTGGAATGATTATTAGAGCGAAAGGAAGATGGGGATGGAAGATGCAAAGGAGGTAACTGGGTTGTCTGGTCGAATATATGATGAGGATATGAATGCTGCTGACGTTCCATCGGAGAACGTAGGGTAGGGTCTAGAGTAGACCTAGATTCTGGACTGGACGGGGATCGAATCGGGAGAGAAAAGGGTACGCGTAGATTGGGTACACTGGTATCGAGGGCCGATGATGATGAAAGGAGCGACGAGGACGTGGACAAGGACAAGATTTTATTATTATTATTGGTTATTTTCTTGTCGTTGTAGCCTTTGTCTACGCTCAATCCAAGACCGCATCGATCACCTCTCCCACTCCACAAACACCCGGGTCCGGGCACCGTCACCGTAAATTTATCATCTTATAGTCAAAGTTGACGCTGCTTTACAACAACCCGGTAGCTCAGTTTGGTCAGAGCATTGTACTTATAGGGTAAATCTCTTTGCGAAATGCAAGGGTCGCGAGTTCGATCCTCGCTCGGGTTAGTTTTTTTCATGCGCTCTATATGGAGCGCCAATTGTGTACTGTTGCGGACAATCAAAGTCGGCAAGTTTGATATCTCACGATTGAAAACTTTTGGCAAGACACTAATATCAGATTTAAATTCAGCTGCTCAAAGTACGTCGATCGAAAAACACTTTTCTCATATGTTTTCCACAAGGTTCTGGTCGAAGTATGTAAAATTTTGTATGCTAGCTAGGGTTTAGAACAGCATCAATCGACATCATCGCCATATTAGGAACTGCTTTTGGTGCTTAAGAGGCTTGCTCTGATTAGAAGTCCAAAAATGCGCCGGACAGGGGTCTCTGAGATTGGAGTATTTTAATTAAGAAAATGCACTGATTTCAAGTGCTTAATTGAACTAATTTTGATGTAACGTTGTACTTCTCTTAGTAGTATTATGGACTTAAAAACAGCTGTTTGGCACCCTCAAGTACAATTGCACACTCTTTCCCATGATGTATATCTATTTGAATTTCCTATCCACAGGCTAATTGACTCTTCCAGATGAATTCAAATAAATAACTAGGCCACAGCACTCCCGTCTCGTGTATGTGATATTCCAACCCGTGAATCTGTCCTCGGTCGGTTTCCCACACCATCACTGACATGTTTCCCACTTCAGGCCCTAACATGTTTTTCTGCTGATTCTCTCCATAAAAATAACTCATACCTCGCCAAATATTTGCCTTACAGCCATCTAGCGTTGAAGCAGGGAGCCATTTGAAGGATTCTAAGAAGGAGGAGAGAAAGTTGTTGAAGGACCCCAAATATACATAATTCTTTCAAAACCTATGGCATACAGTGTGGAAATGACAAGCTAAACTGATAGTTCAATATGAAAACTCTGCATTAAATATGATGACTTACCTGAGCTGCATGTCCACAGGTCATAATCATTCTTCATCCAGATTGGGCTTGATGAATACAGTCCAAGCAATGCCCCCACTTTGGTCAATGATATACCAGTCCCTGCCATGTTGTACATGCCCCACAATGCAGTTGATCATTCAGAGATCAATGAAAATTTCTGTTGAAGTATGATTATAAGAAGTAAGTGATTCAGTTGCATCTTTCCCATTGGTGATGCAAAATGATATACATGCAAGGAGACTGCATGGTGTATCTGGGATATTCAGTTTTGCACATGAGGATAACTTTAATGAGATGATGTAGTGAATTTACCAATAGAAAACCTGTTGAATCTCAGTAGGTTCAGATTTCCTCTTACTTCAGTGACTATTTTTGACTAAGAGCTCATACTGTTACCATAAACACTATGTAAATATGTACATACATGAGAATATATGTAAACTGTACCACTTACACAGACAAATGATCAGTCATGAACATTTGCTGCCTGTTCTTCGCTAACTGCACTGCTTGTCTAAATTTTTTCACCTGCATTCTGGATTCTAACCTTCCCCCAGCACACCATGCAGTATGGTAATAGAGTGCTGATACGAGTGTGGCTGCATTGGTACACTGCTGCAAAGTACTGTGCTATTTTCTGCATCACTATAGGTTCTGGTATGTAGCCTAGACAATGTGGAGGTCTCAAAACACAGTTTTCATCTATAAGAGGTTTTAGTACAATATTGGAGGATACTTGTTAATATTACAAATATAGTATCTCAGTCGACACGAAGATTGTAAATCGACTGATATAAAAGATCGAACCTATTTAGTATCTCAGTCGACACGAAGATTGTAAATCGACTGAGGAACATACATTGGTAGTGCTCGTATTTATGTGGATGCGAACAATGAATCCCATGGCACAAAAGAGACGGTAGGACAATGGGATTGTAACAATAGGAAATGGACAAAAAGAAATATTTACGGTTCGTGGTCAAAGTGTTATTGTTGTTTGTGACATCATGTTTATCCTCGTGTTTATTCAGGGCATGCGTAAGACACAGTTCATAACACTCCCCCTGGCTGAGCATGCCCTTCAGGATTACATAGGCGGAGACCGATGCATTGTTTAATATGTGTTGTGCGGGGAAGTGGTTTGGTGAACATATCTGCAAGGTTGTCAATGGATGCGACATGTTTGACTTGGATGTCGCCATCACTAACTCGCTCGTGAATGTAGTGGTACTGTATGTCAATATGCTTAACGCGGTTGTTATGTTTAGCATTTTTCGTTAGGGATACTGCGCCTGCATTATCATTCCACAAGAGTGCAGGTGGTGGCTGTGGATACCCTACTTCTTCCATTGCTGAATACATCCATAAAATTTGTTTCATTGCCCTGGTAAGCGCCATGTATTCGGCCTCTGTAGTTGAAAGGGCAACAGTTGGTTGATACTGAGTTCCCCATGCTGTTGGGCCACCTGCCTGAATGAAAACATGTCCTGAGCATGAGTGCCGGTTGTCAAGGTCCCCACCGTAATCAGCATCTACATAACCTATTGGTTTGAGGTCTCTGTGTTTTCCACCATATGTTATTTTGTATTCGAGGGTACCTTTTATATACCGTAGTACATGCGTGAGGGCATTCCAGTGAGCAGGGCCTGGGTTGGATGCATATTTGCTGAGTGTAGATATACTGTAAGATAAATCTGGTCGTGTTGCTATCTGAGCATACATAATAGACCCCAGTAGTTCCCGGTAAGGTTTATTGGCCATAAACAAACGATCTTCTTGTGTTTTTGGTCCCATATCCTGCATGAGTACGATGCCTGGAGGTAGTGGTGTTCCCCGTCGGTTACAATTGGCCATTCCGAATCTGTCAAGAATTCGCTCCAGATATGCCCGTTGTGAGATGCTAATAGTTCCCATCATTCTATCCCTGTCAATGTGTATTCCCAAGACCAAATTGGCATCTCCCAAGTCCTTTGTTTTGTAGGTCCATCCTAGTTCCTCTTTTGCACGCTCAGCCTCCTCTTTGGAGGATGAGACTCCGGTTGTGTCATCTGTGTAGGTGCTTGTTATCGTGATGTTGCCATTTGCATGTCGCGATCGTACTGCTGGGTCTGCCATAGATCTGTAGTATCCTAATTCACCCATTTCTGTATTCAATGCCTCAGCCCAATTGTATGCACCGTCCATTGTCCCATATAAAGTTTTGTTAAGACGCCCCACTTTACCCTCAACTTTTGCACCATCTGGGAGCTCGATATATGTGATCGTTTGTGGGTGTGAATTGAGATACGCAGCGACGTAGTCTATCTGCCATGCTTCCATGTCTCGGGCAGCAGCAATTGCAAGATTCATGCGAAGGGATTCATAGCGGACAACTGATGCATATGTCTCGAAGAAGTTGACGCCAGGAATTTGAGTGAAGCCTTTTGCCACCAGGCGGGCCTTGCGTGCTACTAGATTTCCATCTGCGTTATACTTGTTAGCAAATGTCCATCGGGTTTTCATCAAACGAATGTCAGCTGGGGGTTCAATAACCTCCCATACGTCACGTTCCTTCATCATATCCAGTTCTTTGGCGATTGGACCGGCCCAGATATCGGGACGTGTCATTGCTTCAGCATATGAGTTGGGAAGCCAGTAGTTGCTTGGGTCTGGAAGCTCGTCTGTGGTAATGGCGAAGATTCTAACACTGTTGATATTGGCCGATGATCCAGTATTCATCGCCCAATCCTCACCTGCCTCCCTCGCTGCATGCTCCATTTGTTCTGACTCTTTCGACTCAAGTATTGCTCGTGTTGGCACATGATGGCGCATAGACTGACGAGGTAAGGCAGGTTCTGGGGCCACCAGTGAAGGGATGTTTCCATTGGAGTTAGATGCATTCTCGTCGGGGATGGTAGTTGTGGTGTTTTCTGCCATCAGTGGTGTGGGAAACTCACTTATATCTTCCTGTGATAACAGTGGTATTGTCTTCTGACTGAGTCCCTCCTCGAAGATAACATCCCTTGAGCAGATGATCCGCCGCATTTCAGTGTCATATAGTCGGTAGGCATCTCGTCCAAAATATCCGACTAGAAGGCATTTAATTGAGCGGGGTTCCAGTTTGCTAAGGCCATTTCCAGCCTCAGTTGGAATCTTGGCGTACGCGATGCAACCAAATGGTCGGAGATGGGAGACATTGGGTTTTAGGTCATGCCATAGTTCGAATGGTGTTACATGCGTGTTTCTGGCCGATGGGACAAGATTCTTTAGGTAGATAACAGTGGACACAACCTCACTCCACATAGATGGAGGTAAGTTTGATTCGTGTAATAAGACACGTACTCGTTCAATGATTGTGCGATGTGCTCGTTCGACTACCCCATTAGATTCTGACGAGTGTGCTGTAGTGGTTTCATGTACAATTCCCTGCTCTGCAAGGAAATTGTCCCAAATCGCGTTGCAAAACTCTCCCCCTCCATCAGTACGTATACAACAGACCTTTTGCCCTGTTTGTCTCTCCGTTAAAGCAAGATTGCGTTTCATGGCTTCTAGGGTAGTTTCAGCCCGCTTGTCTGCCAGGAAGTATCCCTCCATGTAACCTGAGAATCCATCAACAATCGGCATCATGTATAGTTTGCCACCAATTGATTCCACACGTGATGGTCCCTACAAGTCGACGTAAATTTGTTCTCCAATCCCCTTTTCACGTTGGTCATTGGATAAAAAGGGCCATCGCGTGTGCTTCCCCATGATGCAGTTTTCGCATGTGCCGGGTCTTGGGTTTGTTGTGGTAATGTTTAATCCATTGACGACTTTATCCTTATCCATCTGCTCAATAGTCTGGTAAGCAATATGCCCCAGTCGGCGGTGCCAAGTATCAATATCGGTGGGCTTGATATGTGATTGCATTGCATATATCGTAACAACATTTTTTGCCTTTAATGCGTTGTTGACTTCACTAACTGGTACATTAGTATTTTGCATGGTGGGTGTTATGCTGGCTGCAGGATACAGGTCGATTTCGTACATGGTCCCCACACCCCGCCCATACATAAATGGCTGGTTGTTTTTGTCAAGGAAAGTAACGCTTCCCCTTCCGAAGATGGAAAAACAACCCGCCTTATCGAGACGG